AATGTCAAAGCTACCCAGTCGTACAATCGAAAAGGCGAAAAATAACATAAGCACTTCTCAATGCTCATTCATATTGACGCATTATTGTTTGTGCTACCGTCCACTGCACCCTATAATATAATAAATATCTAGTATATTCTCCGCGAGTCGTAGACATAATTAAGACTAATTTTATAGTTTAATTCCACGTTGTATTTTTGTTATTTTTAAAATTTAAAATTTAATTTTTATTATAATAATATATTCCAGCGTATACTATAAACAGTTTTTCAACGAACGAATAATGTAAATGAGCGACTCTAAATCTAAATGTATATTAGTATTAAGCCGCTTTTTTGATAGCTTATGTTTCACGTCCGCAATCTGATATTTTTTAGCTTATCTTTAAAACTTCGCCTATTAAAATGTGTGCTGTCAATGTGTTAGGTATTATTTAAATTTACGAATATGTTTAAAAATATTTTCTCAGTCTTACATTTAAGATATCGGACGCAAGCCGGTCAATTTGTAATCAATTTTAGTTTAAAACTAACGTCCATATTATCGTTTTTATTTAGAAGACCTTTCCTACAGTATCGATAAATGATTTTCTCAGTTTCAACTAATAAAATAACGGTTTCTTTTTGATCGGTAAGTTATATAAGCTTTATTAAATAATTTTGAAGTAAACAACCGCTATTGTCTCTAAATTCATTTACCGCATTGTTCTAAAAAGCAAATACGAAGTCGAACGGACTTTATCGCTCTGATTCAAATTAAATTCTGTTTTATTTGAAAATATTTTATTTATATGAACCATATATATTATTGTGCCATATTTATATGAACACACAAGTTGCTCGTGACATTTTTTTAATATATTAACCGGAACATCGGGCTTTAGAAAACAAAGATGAACATAAAACAGGTTGCTTAATCAGTGCGATACAAAAACTAAATTATAATTATAATTTGCGTAATTACTGGTGGTAGGACCTCTTGTGAGTCCGCGCGGGTAGGTACCACCACCCTGTCTATTTCTGCCGTGAAGCAGTAATGCGTTTCGGTTTGAAGGGTGGGGCAGCCGTTGTAACTATACTTGAGACCTTAGAACTTGTATCTCAAGGTGGGTGGCGCATTTACGTTGTGGATGTCTATGGGCTCCAGTAACCACTTAACACCAGGTGGGCTGTGAGCTCGTCCACCCATCTAAGCAATAAAAAATAAAAAAAATAAAAACATTGACTTCCCAATCAAGTTTTGCGGTGGTGCAAAAGATCCCGTGGGCCTCCGACTTCGCGAATATGCGCTAAGTTAGTTTCTGAAAGATTCACTAAATGTTTTTATTGATTGCGAACGTACCAACATGCTTAAATAAACGAGATCCACAATGATCTAATCACATCTATACTAATATATAAATCTACAGTGGTTTTTAAAGATGTTCTGTTATAACTACTGAACCATGCATCCGATTGACTTGAAACTTGGTATCCATGTAGAAAATATATGTACTTAATGGATAGGCTAATATTTATGAGTGTGGGACTCCCTAATAATAATGACAATAAACAATATTGTTAATTTTAAATTCCCAGCGAACTGGGCGAGTACAGCTAGTCATTAAATAAAATCAATAAATTTTCAGAGCGAGTTCCCGAAGTGGCTACATGTCACACCTATTTTTGCCATGACACAATGCATTTGAGATATCGACCTCATGTCACAAGGCGGAGCGTGAGGTCTCCTGCATGTAGAAACGTGTATAATTCGTTCCTTACAATAACCGCTTGTTATCAATCGGATAGGCCCTCTCAATGAGGACTCAATACTGGAAAACCATACCTATATTATATGCTAAAACTAATAACAATTTAAGTTCATTTCCCATCAGTAACTAAAGACACTTTACGGTTTAATCTAACGCTTATTTTGTTCCTTTTAGCTTGTCATCCGTGACCACGAAATCTGTCAACTATTCAAGTCATAGTCAAACATTGAGGTAAACGCTTTTTTTTTTATTGCCTAGGTGGCCTATGGACGAGCTCACAGCCCACCTGGTGTTAAGTGGTTACTGGAACCCATAGACATCTACAATGTAAATGCGCCACACACATTGAGATATAAGTTCTAAGGTCTCAGTATAGTGTATACTTGAGATCGAATATCACAAATTCGTTAAGGAAACCGTCGGATGGTTAGTCTTTTTAACAAAATAAACAAATTATAGAGCGGACGTTTGCGTAGAGAGAAGATACATATGACTAGGAGATGTATGGAAATGGTAGTGCAAGGTAGAGGGGGAAGAGGTCGACCAAAGAACACATAGATGGGGTGTGTGAATGACGATATGAAAAAGAGAGAGGAGTGAGTGTTGAGATGACGGCTGATAGAAGAGAATGGAAGAAAAAATTTGCTGTGCCGACCCCACCTAGTGGGATAAGGTGGAGAAAAAGAAGAAGAGGTTAGTCATTTTTATCAATGGATCGACGTAATTGAATGAACACAACAATTTTTATAGTTTGATGAGTGACCGTCAAAAATCTAGTAATTTTTTCAGTTCTGCAAGTCAAAAACATAATTAAAACTACTTTTGTAGTTAAATCTTGTGTTTTTTGTTGACATTATATTATTTTTTATTATCTTTCTTCGATTTTATCGATCTTATTTCCTGTTGGAATCCAAAATTTATTTAATGTTAATATAATTTTAATATTCAAAGTTTTGTCTTCGATTTTATTCACTACCAATAAGTATTCGATTCTACCACGTATTCATTTTTAGCATTGTGACGCTTTTACATCACTATTTACTGTTTCAGAGCGTTTAGTAATTATAAAAAAAAGGCAGTTACCTAAGAAATCAATTTTTAGCAATGCAAACATTCGTATTTCTGGTTTTAACATTGTAATATAAATTATTCAGTGAACTCCCAGTATATTATGCTAAAATGTTTTATGAACTTTTTGATACACGAAAAACAGCGCTCTCACTACGAAAATAAAGTTTATTTTAGCACTTCTCTTAATTTAATTGTGGTACATTATTTTCTATTACCGAGTTAGACGGGTCAATCAAAGTGAAAATCACTGATTAAACAAATATTTACAAGCATTTAACTTAACGATCTTAGCAATGGTCGTTATTAAATATAATTATTGTTATTTAGTTTAAACTTTTATTTAAATTTGAAAGTTTCAATTAGTCCATATAAAAATACACATAAGAAAAAAGTTCAGTGCCATATTCTCTTCTATAACTACACGATACCGATTTTTCTCTGTTTTCGTTGTGTTTAATAAAAACTGAAGAGCTTTAGTTTTATTAATACAAATATTTTGAAAAATCAAAAACCATAAATAGAAAATGTAATTGATACATAAAATTAATCAAAATTTTGAGATCGAATTTCGATCATAGAACAGCAATAGTTTTACGAATTAATATCCGACGTTTTAAAACGTTGTCTTACATTTTGTAACAATGAACAAATTAAAAAAAGTGTGAGTTGTATTTAAATGAAAAGATCAGAAACGAGTTTAATGAATTTTTAATTAAGAGCGATTTAAAAAAAATATTAAATTTCATTAACAGAATGCATTAATCTATCAAAAGTCAAGACAATTAATCTGAAGATATGAAAAAGCTAAAAGTAAATAATTTTAAAGCGGTCGCGCTCATTGAAATATATGTTATCTCTTTTGATTAATGACCCCTTACATTACCATGTCGAATAATATAACCATAACGTAACATAACGGTCGATACGAGTTTTGTTTACAAACAAACTCGAGTACTCCGGGTCTGTACAAAACAAACAACGAAATTCCTAAAATTATAAATTCAAATGATTAAATCATGAGTAACTCATAAATAATCTTATTTCACTGGTATGATTAAAATGAACCAGCGCGAATGAGTCATTAGCGCGCTACAGCGCAAGCTCTAGCAACACTCTGTTAAGGTTTTAAAAACACTAGAGGTCCCGCAGTAGTCGAAATTCGACTATAATTAATTGGAATTGTAAGTTTGTACACTATTATGATTTTATACTTCTATAATCACAAATTTCGCCAAGACTATACTATAAAAAATATTATTAACCAAGACAAACCATATTCTATTCTCAATTTGACAACAGACGTCAAGAACAAAAGTTTGACAATAAATAGTATGCATGCGTGTGTGTGTGCGTCAAATACATGGTATGTAGTGTGTGTAATGTTTTCTTTATTGATTTAATGTATGTTTTATGCATTATTTTAAAAAAATATTAGCTTTGTGCACTTCTTCTCTATATTCTCTATAAGTGTGGAAAATTTCATACTCCACCGTCCGTGCAATTTTCGTAAAAAGGGATAAAAGTTTTTGCTTCACGTATTAATATATAGATTTAATACACGTTATTCTGAAATTAATCACCGAAAAATGAAGGGTTAAGGTAGGATTTACGAATTTCATATTATTATTTATGTTATGAATTACAATTTTATTCTTTGTTCGAATCACGCTGCTGCTATCTGCTGTCCCTACGTGATGATTTTGGTTTGTGATAAACGTCCGCACCTACCCTACATGGAAGGTTAGGCGTGAACATAAACTTATCTCATATTAGATTGTTTGAGCGACAACGCGATCAGAACTAAATAAACCACTAAACGTTTATAATTTCACCAACGCTTTATCACGTTTTGATTTCCGCAACAACAACAACAAAAAATATAAAGCAGATTCAAAAAATTGTGTCTCAGTGAATTCACTATCGAAAAAATATATTTTAGGTACATACGTATATAAAAATGCGTATTTCGATTTTTTTTAAATGTGTCTGTGTGTCATAGCGTTGTTGATCGATTTTTTTATTGGAAGAAGTGGGTCTCTGTATCGCAGGGTTACCTACCTGAGTCGAATTTGAAATAAAAAAAAAATATACAAAAACTATCAAAGAGATTTGATCTTTTTGTGTTCTCGAAATGGTTAGTGACCCAGTGATCAGGTTAAACGAATAAATACTCGAGATATATTTTTTAAAATATTTACTCTGTTTTATTTAAATACTTAGACGATAATATAAAATATTAATACGGCTAAGTTGTATTTCTAATTCGCACACCTAACTCCCTTTTATCCATTATATTTACACTATTTACCTTTGTCATTTAATAATAATCAAAAACAAGATTAAACAACGACACTTAGCATTCGTGTTCGTCAAAATTATAATATTAATAAGAATCCGTAAGTAATTATAAGTTTACGATTTACTCTGCTTCTCTAACAAACAATCAAAAACACCAACACGTGATTTTTTTAAATAAAATAAAGCGAAACAAAGGTTGTCGTATCTCAATAAAAGTCATTTTCCATGTTTGAATTTCTATAAAGAACTTTTTTAATATATATCATTATATATACGTTGTAGGTACATTATTTTATATAGAAAAAATACCTATTTTTACAAATTAAGTACCAAGATTGGCCACAAATACATACAAACGAAAAAATTATTAAAAAAGAAAAACAACAAAACAAGTAAAAAACAGGAATAAAACCATTTTGGCATCGTGTCTGCATCTTTTGAATATAATGTTTTAAATAAATTATGCGTGGGACGTAGGTTGGTCTGAGCACGGGTGAGCGCCGGTGAGCGCGGGTGAGCACGCGCGGACGGACGCGTGGCGGACAACACTAACAGCACGCACCGCGCCCGCGAGACGCGACTTCTACGCTCACATAGATTCGATAAACACTTAAAATAAAAATTGCACCTATTCACTCACTCGTATTCCCTTACAAAACGTAGCTTCGACCCGATTCGTATTTTTTACTCTCGTCTCTAATCGTAAATTTACAGTAGCAACAATTTAAATTTAATCCACACCACAATGACTCCCTACGACAGGTAGGCTCGCATGAACATCGTTCATTTATAATATCTATAAATAAATTCGATGAAATCGTCCTTTACAAAAACTGTTTGGCGCTCCGCACTCCTCGCCGGTCGCGTCCGGCTCGCGTCCGGTTCGCGGCCGGTTCGCGTCCGGCTCGGTGTCGATAGTGTACGTGTTGTGTGTCGTCGTACTTACCGCACGACGATGTGGAGCGAGGGCGCGCGCGGCGAGGGTGCGTGAGCGGCGCCGGGATCCACCTCCGATTTAAGCTCTTATTTATCAATTAGACTATCTAGCTAAACGTCGTCGGCGATCACTGCGGCTCCGAGGTTACAAACGATTACTGGCTTCGATCTTAACATTACTCACATATTTAATCAATGACTTCACTGAAATTATAAAGAACAACTTAAACTTAGCGTTCGAAAGTCCACAGGACGGGGCTCGCCGCACGGACTATTTACAAAGTCGGCGGCCCGTCCGGTCACTGCGCCGCGGGCACGTCCCGGCCGGCGGCGCGTATGTACAGAGAGTATCCCGCGGGCGGGCGCGCTAGTGCGGCTCCGCATAGTAGGGCCGCGGCGGCGCCCACGGGGCGAACTGTTAGTGCGCTGCCAGTGTGTGGGCGCCCTGCGGCAGCCCGTGCTGCGGGGACAGGCCCGGCGGGGAGTGCTGCAGCGGGGACCCGTGCACGTCTCCGTGTCCGTAGTGTGCGTGCCCCATGCCCTCCATCATCTCGCCGCCGAGCGTGTTCGGTGGCGTCATCCTCTTCTCTTTCTGTCTCCTGTTGCAGAACCACACGCGCACCACCTCTTTCTCCAGCTGCAGGCTGTCCGCTAACGACGTGATTTCTTGAGCGGACGGTTTCGGCTGCTTGTGGAAGTGTTGCTCTAGCGCACCTTTCACCGAAACCTCTATAGAGGTGCGCTTCTTCCTCTTCCGACCCTGCGCCGCTATTTTGTCGATGCTGGTCGGGCTGCCCGTCGTCGAGTCCGCCTCCTCGAGCCACTTCTGCAGCAGCGGCTTTAATTTACACATATTTTTAAAACTGAGCTGTAACGCTTCGAAACGACAGATAGTCGTCTGTGAAAACACATTCCCGTAGAGCGTGCCGAGCGCGAGCCCGACGTCCGCCTGCGTGAAACCGAGCTTGATCCGGCGCTGCTTGAACTGTTTGGCGAATGCTTCGAGGTCGTCGCTCGTGGGGGTGTCCTCCTCGGGCTGATCCCGCTCCATGGCGTGATGATGCAGCGGATGCGGCGAGGGCTGGATGTCTCTGAGCATATGGTGTTGGTGCACGGGCATTGGGTATCCTCCATGCAGTGTGACGGGCGAGCCCGCACCGTAATGCGGGCTGACGACGGGCGCGTGCCAGCCGTGGGCCGCATGCTGCAAGTGGCGGTGGTCGTGAGGAGCCGGGGGAGGCTTCACGTCTGGTTGATGTGCGTGTGCGTGATGCTGGTGCATCGCCCAGGGGTCGGCGGGTGGCAGTGACGTCCAAGGGTTCCCTATCACGGGCGCCCCCGGGGACGGCGACCCGCCCGAGTGCAACGGATGCTGGTACTTCATGTCGGCAGGCTCAGCACTACGCGGCGACGCCGCGTGGTACCCGCCGATGTTGCCGAGCTCCATCTCGGCGGGCATGTACGTGGTCGCCGCCATGGCGCCGTATCTCAGATCCACGGTGGACGGCGTCTTGCCGGCTCGAAGGCTCTCGAGCCTTCAACTGGCTTATTCTTTCGCGAAAACTGCGCGGGGGTCGCGCTGCGCTGCGGTAGCGGCGGGGGCCACCTCACATCACCGGATTCGACAGCGAGCGACATGCGCGTGCGTGCGCTACGGCAGCACGGAGCGAACTGCGGGGCTCGGCGGCTGCGCGCGCCCGCCGACCGCCGCTCTCAGGGCCGGCCCCGCCCAGCGCGGCCGCCCGCTAATGACGGTGTAATTGTTGCCCCGCCCCTCGGCCCCCTCGCGCCCCGCACTGGAAAACTCTCGCGTCTGTACGTCTCGCGTCCGTGCCCGCCGCACTCGCCGCACTCGCCGCACTCGCCGACCCGCACCTGACGCTCCGCCGAGGACCGACGGCGCGCTTCCCAGTAAAATTCCTTGTCATATAGACGAATATAACTGACTTGTCGACTTTTACTGTACTTACACTCGTTTTAAATAATATACTGCTTACGACCGCGTTTCGATAACGTCACGGCCCCAATTTAATAAACAAATCGAACACGATCTAAGACTCTCTTTTTTATTTAATTAAAATTAAACGTACTAATTATATATTAGAGCATTTTTACAAACACTGTAACGTCTTAGACTATTTTTACATACACATAACGTCATTAAACACATAGAATAGCTTTCTAATACATATATTTTTAATTTTCACTACAAATTAAGAGGAATTTTCTACTTCAGCAGATATTACATTAGGTTTTAGACATTCTAGGGATACAGACGATAACTGAGAAAGCAGTCCACCGTTCTGGCACAGAGATGTTGTACCTACCTACCAAATCTACTCATAATAAACTAAAAAATCTTCTACTAAGTAACAACGACTTGACATCGTTACAAAACTGAGCGAGCGTTCAATTAGAAAGATTTACAAGTGTAATGCATTAGACATAAATAATTACTCCTTCAATTGTTTAATTCTCAAACTCTTGAATTTGAAACAAAAATTGATAAGAATACAAGCTACTAGTTATTCAAAACAAGTTAAGCAGAGCACTCTGCCAATGTTGTTTCTTTACATTATAATTGAAATATTATGATTTAAAAACGTTATATGCATACATAGATGTGATTTGTGAAATTGGCACTTACGCTGTAACAATATCGATTTAAAAATTTCAACATAGTTGTTGTCTGTATGTGCGTTTTTGTGGTTTCTATATTAATTCAACTAGACGCATCCTGGTCGGGAATTTGGCACGGCACGCTCTGATCGCGACTTGGACCTTATTCTCTTACCAGTTGAAGTCATTTTCGAATACCAGACCGTCGAGATCAAAATATTTAGGTACAAATAATGTTAACATCAAATTGGAGTAATAAATTAGTTCAACGCTGATTTAAAATGCCTTATTAAAATGTTTGAAACTATTTATGTGTTTTAAACCTAAGTTATTATTATCTTCGACGGGTAGTCAAGCTCACTGTGCACTTTGTGTTAAGTGGTTATTGTGACGTGTCATGAAATTGAAAAAACTTTTTTAGTTCTTTCTAGATTTAGCACTCAAGCGATTTATCTATTAATTACTTTAATAATAGAATAAAAAAAATCCATTATTAATAACAGTAGTTATGGGTATGTGTAAAAGTACCATTCTAGATGCCGATTCAATTTTCATTTGGCATTTGAATCTCTACAACAGGATCCATTATGTTCTTTCCGCAAATCGAATCTGTCAAACTTTATAAGCTAACTTCAAATTTACTTTTTAAAAGAAAACAATAAATTTACGTTTTTTTTTTATTGCGTATATGGGTGGACGAGCTTACAGCCCACCTGGTGTTAAGTGGTTACTGGAGCCCATAGACATCTACGACGTAAGTGCGCCACCCACCTTGAGATATAAGTTCTAAGGTCTCAAGTATAGTTACAGCGGCTGCCCCACCCTTCAAACCGAAACGCATTACTGCTTCACTGCAGAAATAGGTAAGGTTGTGGTACCTACCCGTGCGTACTCACAAGAAGTCCTACCACCAGTAAAATAATTTACATCCAGTATTTACATACAGACGATTAGAAAGGGAGCCGCATGATTCGTAAAATAATAACGTAGGAAGATGAGGATACATAATAATATAGAAAATGATAACTAGCATCCGTGGGCATCAACAACGCCACAGTCAAGCCGTTACCTATATTACGAAATCAATTTTATATGCACACTGATTTTTTTTTTGCAAAAAAAAACTGGAATTAGGAAAGATAGGAAAGATTGCTCCATAAAAGATTTAGATAACTTGTAACATTCATAGATAAATCTATATTTAATTTAGTTTGGCTTAGTGAAGAGCTTTTTACTACTGTTTTATTTGTATTAATTCTTGTTTGCTTATTTTTTTTGGTTCAAGCTCGTTTATCGGTAAGAAACTTTAATTGGCTTTCTTTTTCTATTTGTTGTTATTTTATTCTATTATGTTAACTTAAGCTGTTGGTCTTCCTTTTAATAAATAAAGAAATAAATTGAGAAAAAAACAACAGACACAAATTTGAAAGTTTCATTGAAGTACCTAAACTAAATTAAGATACTAAGCTCTTATTTAGGAAAATAAATAATAAAGATACATATAATATAATTACTGTAGTAGCTATTATTATGTAACATAAGATTCTTTCAGTTTCAATTTCATTAGCAACTTCACCTCGCCACTATACGAGCACCAAAACAAAATATTTAACTAAAGCCACGACAAAACCTGTATTTAATATTAATAAGAACACTTTTACTACATCGTGTACAATCACTCTTGCTATTCGCATCATAATGATAATTATTTAAATTAAATGACAAGGCATGAATAAAGCGCCGTCGCGCCGGCGGTATCCTAATGGTACTTTTAACGCCATCTGTTGCCGAGTAGACGAACTGTATGGTATAATTCCACAATTTTTCACTTTGCATTTTTTGAAGATAATATTAAATTTTGAATATTGAAATGCTATTTATGTCAATGTTAATTTTAATTCAAGCTTGACTTATTTTAAATATTTTTTTATAAAACGAATTATGATTACAATAAATATGAGAAGTATTAAATATAATTTAATTTAATACTTTAACTTAGAAGAGTACATTTTAAGGTAATGATGCTATTTAAAAACCCGAAAACAGATAAATAAGGAATGCACAATAAATAAGATAAGTTTATTGATCATAACTGAAGTTTTAAAAAAACCTGTAGGTATATGCGAATTATTCTTAATTTGACGTTAATTAGGCAGGCTGACTGTGTCACTGGCATTGCCGATGTGATTGATATACTTCTTTCAACCTTTTACACCATGGACTCCGTCAATAACTATAAATAAATAACTAGTTACCGTTTTCTTTTGTTTTTAAGCTTATTTTTGTTTAAATATTTTCAATTCTTTAAAAGCCATAAAGCAAGGCAAGCAAGCAAAAATCGCGAGAGCAACGCCATCTATCCAAACAAAACTAAATTAAAACTCTTATGTGAGGGCTGCATGCAAAGGTACATTACTTAGTCAGACAATGAAGTTGTGTTGGATATGGCTTCCACAGAGACCAGTTGGAATATTTGAGTTTTGATAAAAAAAACATGATATTAACCATTGATTTTGTTCCTTAAATTACTTTCACCATAAAGTACTGAGGTTAAAGTAAGGATAGATTTATTATATTAAGCATAGCAAATCAAGGTAGGAGTGACAAAGACGTCAATCATGTTGAGAAGGAAGTTCAGGAAAATCTCTTCCAGCAGGAAGAGGCAGCAGCCTGCTTTTTGCAAGTCTAGAGGGCGCGAAGTAAACAGAAATGTAATGAACCAGCCCACTGAGTTTCTCGCCGGATCTTCTCAGTGGATCGCGTTTCCGATCATGTGGTAGATTCTGCGAAGCACGGCTCTTGCTAGGGTTCGTGCTAGCAACGTCATCAGTTTTGAGCCCCGTGAGCTCACCTATTAGCTCGGTGACGCTGATATGGTCTCTCTAGACTATCAGCATAGGTAGGGAAAAAAAATATATTTTTTTGTCACAACAAAATTAAAATTTCCATTAAAACCCAATTCGATTGTTTTAAGCACTATGCTGGTTAGATTTACGATAACTACAACCGACGGTTCGACAACAGTCTGGTATCTGACGACTATCAGAGCTGAAAGTTTTAACTTTGAACTCAACTCTAAGAACATCATGAATTACAACAACAAAAAATTTGAAAAAATAAATAATAGTTTAAAAAAACAAAAAAAAAAATGTTTTTATAGAAAATCCAACTAAAAAAATAGAAAATAAATGTTAATAAATTTGAATTAAAAATAGTGTAAAAAAATATATTTTATTAGACGCTTTTTTTACAATAAAATCATTTTTTCTTAAACTACTTTTAATTATTTTACTTTTTTAGTTGTTTTAAACTATTATTTATTCGTGTCTAACGTAAATGCACCACCCACCTTGAGATATAAGTTTTAAGATCTCAGTATAGTTACAACGGCTGCCCTACCCTTCAAACCGAAACGCATTACTGCTTCACGGCAGAAATAGGCGGGGTGGTGATACATACCCGCGTGGACTCACAAAAGGTTCTATCACCAGTAAAAATTGTCATCGGTCTTTAATAAGTACTTATGCCAAATTTCGAGTTAATCCGACGTTTTGAAGGGGGTCAAAAACATGTTCAAAGATTCCGTTACATACTAACACACATAGGTCTGAAGCTAATAAAAGCGTATTAATTTATGAATTTTTACTTTTATTATCGTGTAAATAAACAGCTTAGATATTAGTACGAACAACGATCCTGTTTATTTATACCGCACAGAAGACAAGCAAACGTAAGCGCTTTTGTATTTACATGATAACAAAAGTAAGCATTGACTAATTTTTTAACTATTTTTTTATTATAATTCCCGACTTTCCTAGAGATAATTTCTTCTGAAGCTAATACTTTTAGTCCTCCAGTTCAGAAGGGTGGAACAAATCTTATACAATACAACAGAATACAGACTTCAACGCTACTTCTCTAGGTGGATAGAGGACACATTCACTTTATAACGTCTATGGACTGTTGTGGCCACTTAATATCAGGTTTTTTTTATATCTTAGATGGGTGGACGAGCTCACAGCCCACCTGATGTTAAGTCCGCCAC